TATTATCTCATTAGTACACGTTTGAAATTTCTAAAGTTTTAATATCATTAGAATGTAGCACCATATAAATTTTTCAACTGTCTTAAACAATTTTTAGAATGTTTATAGCAGACACTCAATAGTGTGAACAGAGAAAACAAAATTATCGACTTGCTTACCTTAATATATAATAAGCATCTATAACAATCACAACTTACATACAAATGTAAAACACTAATACATATCCATCAAAAGACAGCAACAAACACATACAACTAATGAAATATCACTTTTGCTCAACAAATCTGAAATTTTGGTATGGAGTATTTTTTAGGATTTAACAACTATGTAGCTACCTAAAGTGCGATGTTCACAGTACAGAGTGCCTACAGTATTAAAGAACCCATTAATTACAAAAATTAAAACAAAATATAATTAAATTAAGAGATCACCTAAATGAACAAAATCGGTGATAACATTCTTTTTTTATGTAAACGAAATGGATTATAATCTCTCACTGACGCGCCATCCAGTACAAAAAATTGTAAACAATCAAGTATTTCTAAAATATAAAAGGTTTTATTATTATCACTTATCTCAACAATATGTTATAGAATTTTTGTAAGAAGCCATAAAATATTTATAAATGGATTTTATGATTCTATCGTATATAATTGTTAGATTTAAACATTATGGGAACAGGGTGTTATTTAATGCTAAACCGAATAGGCGTGCCAACTCGTCGAAAAATACGTCCAAAAATGAAATCGTTGGCGTAACATCAGGGGGACTTGTTGGCTCCACCTCCACCCACCGTTAGTCCGAATAAGTCTCTTCGTTCCTAAAACAATAACCTTCGCTGTCGCTTCTTAAACTGTAAGCTAATAGCGCCCCAATTGCGAACACAAACAAAAGGGTGATCCATTGTAACATTTGAGACCTACGGACGGCGTTGTGCAACTGCATCTGGCAATCGCTAAGCTGCGATAATCGGGAAGTTATCTGGTTTAAATGAACATTGCTGTTTTCACTGGGGGTGTGCCACACGGCCGAACCATTCTTTGTCGCCTCCACGGCTTGTATACAACGTAATCGGTGTTGAGATATTTGCTTTCCAGATGCATTCTGTGGACAAAATTTTATTTAGCTATACGGAATTTTAAGGGAAGGCAAATATGTGATTGAGGGGTGGCATTTTAAAGTTAAAATTAAACTCACTATAAACCCATACAAAAATATAAGCCTAAAACCAAAACTTAACAAAACCCACAAGCATTTTTGGAGACGATTATCTTTTTGTCATAGCTCAAGTTATTGGAATATGAAAAAAAAGTTTTTCATTTAAAATGTTACCTTCCATAAATCTGCTAACTCTTGTTGACTCAGTTCTGTAGACTCTATAGGCATGCTCATTACCAAAAACTTATCTTTACTTAAGCCTCCCAATTGAAATCCATGAAGAAGTGTTATATAAATAGTGGTTTGCGCACCAGGAACCAATATACCCGCACTGGGTCGAACTTTGAATTTTTCTGGCGAGGTTGTTTTCATCTGAAAATTAATAAGATATGATCAGTAATCTAAATAAATATTTTCCTTTTAAACAAATACCTTATATGATATATTCGTTTTGGCATCAATGTTCTTTAATTCGAATGTGGCAACGAGTTCGTTTCCTTCTTTTGCAAATGTAATCGTGTTGGGGGGATTTACGCTTAACATCCCTATATCTGATACAGAAGCTATAAAATTAAAAAAAAACTAAAATTAAACATTACAAACATAATTCAATATTTTTATAAAATTTTTGTTATTTGTTATACAAAAAGTATTAAAATCTTTTTGTTATTTTAATGACAATGTTCATAATAATAATAACTTACCAGTTAAATCGACCGACGATGTATCAATTACTGGGGACCCATCGGCAAAGTGTACCTATAAAAGTGAAAATAGCCTTCAGTTAAAATAGCAATAAGTAGGTTGACACAAAATCTATAATGAACTCTATTTCCTCCATAGCCCTTAAAGGTCAAAAGAAATTACTTCACGTTCGTTTCGATGAGCTATTTGTGGATACTACTACAAAAAGGTCGTATTTAGGTCAGAAAGATGGGCCTAAATCAATGTCAGGGAAAGTCTACCACTTATTAAATGCCAAATGTTTATTTTCATTATTTTATTAAAAAATATCTTTTAGGCAGGTCACAATGCTTTCGATTTGGCGAGGTCGTTAAATTAACTGATTGCTAATTTAAATATGTACTAGGATTTCACTTAACTTTCCTAGGGCTGACCCTGAGGTCTCCCTAAAATTTCTGTCATTGTAACCAAAATTAAATACCATTTTACAGCTCTTTATAATAGTAGGATATATTAGAATTTAAAAACAATTTTGATAATCAAACTAATAATCTGACACTAAGTTAAAAAGTTGACAAAACAGATAAAAAATGACAAAATCCCAGAAGTTTAATAACCAGTAAACACATTTTTATCTAATTGTCAATTACTAAGAATCTGTACAGACTAAATTTATATAAACTACTTTCAGCACTTATTGATTAGATCAGAAGTTGTAGAAATATTTATCGCAGATATAATTGAAATACATAAACAATAGGGGTAAAATCAAAATTCTACAAAACTATGAGCCTCATTCTTGTTTTAATTAACTTGATAACTAAAATTTGGATATTGTACTACTTATGCCTTACCATGTATAGTCTAACATTTAAAAATACTAGAATAAAAGTGTCTTTAACATCAGCATTATATACTTACAAATACATTAATGTTGGGGCATCCTATAAAGTCTCTTTTGCTAACATATACGCCTTCATGTACTCAATTACACGAGGGTGTTGTTGATTGCTCTACTCTACTCTTATAAAATTTTCTTACCTTTCTATTTAACGTGCTACTTGGCAAATTGTCTCGAGTTTCAGGAACAAAACTAAAAACATAATCGTTAATTCCACCCCAAGATCGCATAGCCTGATCAGGATCTACAAATTCGCTTAAATCTGCTTTTTTAATTACTCTTAATCTTTCTAATGCCTTTTCTGGTAACCAAGACTTTATTATTTTGAAAGCAGCTAAAATCGAAATTAATAAATTAATAAAAAAACTATTTTTGTTTACACAATTCCTTAAGCAACCCATATAACTAAATAGTAAGATTTAATGGCTTTTCATGGTTTTAGGATAAATAGGGATCATCAGTCAAAATACTTTCAGATTCATATTTTAAAAACCAATAAGAAAAAACAGAAAAGTTTTTTAAAACTGACAGTATGAATTTAACTAAAGTAAATACACGAAAAGAAAAAAGATCCCTCCAGCTAATAGGACAGGGGATGTCCCTAAAATGTAGAAAATTTAGTGTAATTTACAGTAGATAACTAAAATAATAAGTTTGAAATCTGCAGTTTCTTTTTTTTAGCCTTTTGATAATGATACATATTTAAAATTCTTGAAATAATTGTTACAAATCATAACAAAAGTTAATTTATTGATCCCTACACTTGCAAATCTACTAAATCATTCAATTAAGCTCCAATTAAACTTTACTGATGTAATAAAATAAGTGAATTATGATAACTGATGATGAGATTTGATCTAATTACTAAAATAACTAATTAATAATTATGGTCAATGAATGACATTCTTAAATAGATTCTACTGCTTTGATTAAATAAATTAAAAATGTAACTATGAACTTACCATTCAAAATCCATTGCATCTCGAAAATGATTATGTAATTTAATGAGTATGGATAATACTGTTTAAAAAGACTAATTAAATATTTCA